GACACATTTAGAGGGGGGGGGGGGGGGTAAAGAGTTGTCCCTTTAAGGCTACTGGCCCAGGGAAAAGCAGTTTTACAACTAAAGGTACAGTTTTTGCACAACTTTTCTGACAGTGTACAGAAAGACAACACATTTTTCAAGGACACCTGTGTAAATTTGTGGAGAATGTTCTATATCCACTAAAATTCAACAGTTTTTGAAAAAATGGCTCAGAAATGTTAGTTCTAAAAACATAACACTTGATATCTAATGCAATAAAACTCATTCATTTTAGGTGTGATGTTTCCAAATACCTTATGTTGAGCCACTGTTTGAGAGTATCATCAATGCAAAGGAGATCAACACTACCATTCAAAATTTGACGGTAGCGACCTTTTTTTTTTCATGTCTTTGGAAAAAGTCACCAAGGCTTAGTTTATTGCTTATTGTGAAATATTATTACAATTTAAAATAACTTTTCTATTTTAAAATGCAGTTTATTCCTGATGCAAAGCTGAATTTTCAGCATCATTATTCCAGTCTTCAGTGTCGCATGATCCCTCAGAAATCATTCTGTGCTTATTTGATGCTCGAGAAACATTTCTTATCAATGTTGAAAACAGTTTTGCTGCTTAACACTTTTGTGAAAACCAGTATATATTTTTTTCTGAATTTTTTGATAATTAGAAGCATTTACCTGAAATAGATTTTTTTGAGGCACACACACACACACACACATATATATATATATATATATATATATATATATATATATACATACATACATATATATACATGTTTAACTAATGGTATCAGTCCATGTACACTGAAGTTCTCTTACAAAGTTTCAGAAGCAAAATTGCATGCTGCACGATGTTAAGCAAAGGTTGAATAAGTCATGATTTTCCCAAGGATCAAAGAGAATCAGAGACTTTTGGGGGGTTTTTGAACAGTCTCAGTGGAGAAAACACTAACACTTGGGGGGCGAATGGTCGTGTATCCTAGACGCCTTCAAACCCTTCCATCAGTCACACAGTCTACTTCCTAACAGTATAAATGTACAAAATTTGAACGAAGAACCCTGGGGTCAAAACTGCCTTCTACTGAAATGTGGCCTGAATTCTGTGTAACTGGTCCATTTGGCCGAAGCTCAAAGGGACGTTAAATAATCAAAGCAAATGAGATGTTGGCCCATGAAACAAAGTCATGGCAGTCTTTCTGCAGCCCTCCTTCAGGAAATCCAGCACTAGTGACTTTTATATCTCAGGGGGTTACTGACCAGAGTAACCCCAGAGTTGAGATGTTCATCTCGTACCTCACGGTGTGATGTGATGTGTCCCAGCGGTGCAATGACGTCATTCAATGAAAAAGCTTTTGAATTGCACCTCCAGTGTTTGTCAGATCAGTCGTGGGTGATTAAAGCGTGGCTGTGTTCAAACCAAGGTTATGTCATCTTAAACTGGGCATATATCTTCAACAACTTCCATATTACCTAAACTTTTACATTATCTGGAGAAACTTGCTGCCACCAAGTATATGCACTGAAACTGAATGATTAAGAGATGTACAAATAAACGTTTCTCAAAATTGCATCATATTAAATTTTTAATATGCTTTTTTTTTTTAAATTGATGTATGGATAATGTAGAAGGCATGTAGATGATTGTGTACAACAGGTAAAATCTTGATCATGTTTTTAATCTAGAGACCTTAAAAATTGATGTATCACATATGATGGTTTAATTGGGTTAATGATTTTTTGTCTTCGCTTGTTAATGGTCTTATGGAGTGTGGCAAATTTTACTTTAATAATTGTATTTTATATAATGATATGATATCACACACACACACACACACACACACACACACACACATCACTGGAGAGTCATTCATGAAGTCTCAGACATGATCAGAGAGAGACGGACCGTCTGTGTGTTATCTGAGAGTACAGTGAATCCTGAAACCTCTCAATAACATGTTTTTAGGACCATTAACATTTATTCTGGTCATTTTGCACACATTAACACACACACACACACACACATATATATATATATATATAAAAAAATTTTTTTTTTTTTTTAAAGCTATATTTTTCCTTTGTCATTGACCCATCAATCGTGTTGTATAACACATGACGCAAAAGGAGTTACAGTGTGCACTGAAGGTTTATGGGTTTGTTAAAATCTCCAATACTAATAGTGATGCTTTAGCAAACAGCAATATGTTTTCGCTGGCATTACCCTCTCCACTTACAGTGCCCATTAGGCTCGTCTAGCACTGTTTCTGTGGACACAAGGGCACCATTGGGAGTAGGAGATGAGAGGTGTGGGGGGATGCTGTGGGTGTTACCTGAGCCTGTGATAGCCCTCTCGCTGCCGTTACAGAGGCCATATGCATTAGCTTCAAGAGGCTCAAATGCCCTGCGCTAAATGACATGTCCTTGTTGCCAGGTAGGCAAAATGGAAACCATTAGTCAAACCAAAGATCCATTTCTCTACACCTCACTAAGCTTCCAGTACTGGAGCACCACAAAAATAAATCCCATTAGATTTCTGTGATGAAAATGAAATCAATAAGATGTGCATGCATTATTCAGTCTTTGGAAGGCTAGCTGTATGGTAAGCACTGTTCTGCATCGCAGTTTTGCATCAGTTTATCCATTACTGGCATTATGTTTACTTGTGGCATGCCTAAATGGATCCTTCACTTGACAAGCCTATGCAACGTCATGTCAGGGCATGAAGTAAAATAACTGGTTTTAAAATTGTTAAGGCTTTTCTTCAGTGTGTTGCATTTTACAAAAGGCAAGAGGTTTACAACGTCATCTTTCATCAACGATGTGTAAACGCATATAGGTTTTAATGGGCAGTGTTGGGGAAAGTTACTTTTAAAAGTAATGCATTACAATATTGCATTACTCCATAAAAAAAGTAACTAATTATGTTACTTAGTTACTTTTTATGGAAAGTAATGCGTTACGTTACTTTTTAAATCTGGACAGGGCTTGCTTGTTTGTTTTTAAAATAAAAAAGTTATATTTTTGGCAAATATAAAAGCCTTTTCACACCAAAAGTGAAATGAATAAGCCTCAGGCTGAAGGGAAAGTAAATTTACGTCTGTACAGTAGAATGCAGAAGAAGAAATTTCAACACACTTCAGCAATAAAAAAAGACACAAATGTTTGTCTAGAGTAATTTGTGCTTATTAGTACGGTTGAACTGGATCATCGAAGGTCAGAAGCAAAGACATTGGTTAATAGAATGGGATTAAATACATAAAGGATATTTGTGTTGTTTAACATGTAATTATTGCAGGTTTGCGTCATATTCTGAGTTGCATTATTTTTATTCATTTTGAGGAATACTGAATCTGAGTGTTTTTTTTTTGTGTGAGTGAGATGAATGAATGTATATTCATATTTATTTTAGAACTACAGTAACATCTGATTTCTCTCAACATGGGGACAGGAGAGCTGTCAGTCAATAAATTGGGAAAAAAAAAGTAACTTGCGTTACTTATTTGAAAAAGTAACTCAGATATTCTCTTGTAAATTAAAAAGTAATGCGTTACTTTACTAGTTACTTGAAAAAAGTAATCTGATTACGTAACTCGCGTTACTTGTAATGCGTTACCCCCAACACTGTTAATGTGTGGTTAGCATGTAACATGAAAATTCTTCATCTTATTTTATTTATTTTCTATTCACTTTTTTAACCAAGTCTACCATATGAAATAATATTCAAAACAGTTTATGGAACCTAAGACAACAATGGAACAGTTTATTGAACCTAAGACAAAATATAAAAGAACAACTAAAAAAAAGTTTGCAAATGTGTTTTATGTTTATATGATATTTTATACATCGGGCTTTTATGCCTGTATATACTAGTATAATATAGGAAAATCTCACAAAAGAAGCTCGCAGAAATATGAAAATTGGAGATGTTATTTATTTACAAAAAGTCAAATGAAATTCTGATAGTTAATCATGTAAATCAAGGTACAAGGTACAAATTAAAACCCACAAGTCTGCAGCCAATGTCAACAGCGTGACGCTCGGTGTTTTTTTGTTTTTTTTTGAACACTTGCTTAGGGAATACAAAAGTGAAAAAAAAAAAACATATGCCAAGGAAAAGAGCCACGGGTTCAAGGATGGCCAAATAATACATAGCCATTTAAAATTCAGAAGAGAGAGGGAGAATAATAATCATAATAATAATAATAATAAAAAACAACAACAAAAATAAATGGATGGACGGATGGGAACAAATTAAGCAGATCACATAGCAATAAACAATCTTTCCTACAAAACATAAACATTAAATAAAAGCACCAAAAAGTGAGCATACATTTAAAGTTTTCGTTGCCTTTTTTGTTACAGGAGGTAGACAAGGATTTCATATAGATCTTAATATCTTCTTGAAAGTGAGAAAAATGCAGGTAACGCGTGGCGCTCTGTTTTTCTTGTGAGGATAGCAGGACGTCACGGCTTTTCACGCTGCGGTATCGTAGTACAAACAAAATCTGTTTGCTGAAATGTAGTCTGACGTAGGCTTCTCAAGCTAACGGACCGATACGATGTAATGTCTGTAGTGCTTTTTGTGTGTATTTTCACCGTTCCACCCGGCGCTGCAGTCAGTCAGTCAGTCTCGCAGCATGTGTATCGACGGATTGGCCATATAAAGTGCGCTAAAACTCTCCGTGACGCGTGTATCGGCTAAATAACAGACCGTTTTGAGCAGAGACTGCTAACTAGCGACACAGATGGCTTTATGGGAGGGAATGCATTGGGGGTAATGGGATCTGTGCGGTTATATGCAGCCCGTCGGTAGGGCACGAGACCCAGACCGCAGCTGAAAGCGCCGGGATCTCGCTACATCTGCAGCTTATAATATAACCACCGGCCATTTTCAGGCGGGGGATCAAACACCTCGGGCTGCAGATGGGCTTTAATATCGGTCTAATGAAGTAATTTGAAGCCCATACTTCAGTCCCCGAGCGTGTGATGATAGGAGACACAATGACGCTTTTGTCTCTTTTGGGTCGCATCATGCGTTATTTCTTGCTCAGGCCAGAGACCTTGTTTCTGTTATGTATAAGCTTGGCCCTTTGGAGTTACTTCTTCCACACGGACGAGGTGAAAACCATCGTCAAGTCCAGCCGGGATGCCGTCAAGATGGTGAAGGGGAAAGTGGCGGAGATGATGATGAACGACAGACTCGGCGGTCTGGAGGTGCTGGACGCGGAGTTCTCCAAGACCTGGGAGTTCAAGAACAACAATGTAGCGGTGTACTCGATACAGGGCCGGAGAGACCACATGGAGGACCGCTTTGAGGTCCTTACCGACCTGGTGAACAGGAGCCACCCTTCAGTCTTTGCTGTTTTTGACGGCCACGGCGGGGAGGTAAGAAGTGTGGGTGCTGATGAGAGTCAGGGCGAGAGCTGGACAGACCAAATTCAACCGCTAGTTTACTGTTAAAGGTGAAATTCTAAAAAGAACATTTAGAGAACGTTGGAAACTGGTTCTCAAAATAACCAAACATTAAGGGAACGTTGTGTGTTAGCTGAGACGACCTTCAAAAGGAGCAGTTAATGCAAAAAATGTGTTTCCTCATGTCATTCCAAACCCGTATTCCTGACTAATTTCTACTATGGACTATGAAGCAAATCATGGACATTTTTTACGTACTGAACGCAGATGGGGACTGGGGTTGTAAAGCGCCAAAACGTAAACAAATCACCCCAAAAGTCTCATAAAAGTGGCGCCTCTGAACAGGTGCCGCAGTAAAGCAGTGTGAAAGTGTGAATGTTCTTACGTTTAAAGAAATAGTTAACAAAAATATTCTCTCTGTCAAGCCTATATAACCTTTTATTTTGCTTCTGATATCATTTTACTCCACGCAGTGAGTGAATCGTCTTTTGTGTTGGTTGGGGAAAAAACAAGGTCATACAGATTTGGAACAACACAAGTGTGAATAAATAATGGGTGAACTGTCCCTTTAAGACTGACTGTTTTCAAGAGTTTTTACATAAGTATTTACGGTAAATTCATGGTTATGAATATATATACCTTTTTCCTGTATATCTTTTCACAAACTGCCTTTGTAATGGTTATATGAGTACTCTAATGCAGCCAGTTGATACTTGTCTGGTGCATTCAGTCAGTTCCCCGTCCCCCCAGACATCTGGTCTGACCAGTCTGATTTCCCAGCCTGTATGGAGCACAGACAGATGTTCATGTTATCTTCTCCATTGTGCAGTAAAGCAGATGAATGCTGGTTGGCTTAAAGTTTGAATGCCTTCTGAGATTCACTTGAGCAATGAAATGAACAGCTCACAAGGTTTAAGGAGACCTGAGAGATGTGGAAACCTATTAAAACAGCTCGGGAAGCTCTTTGAATTTGGATTTTTACCGATCAGCTATTTTCCTCACCAGTCTAGTTGACCGTTTCTGGCTCTCATGGTCATATATGGAATGCCTGAACTCTATTTATAGTGGGATTTGTTTATACAAATGTCCAGAGGCCCGCCTGCTATCCAAGCAGTTAATAGATTAAAATGTGCCAACCTCATGCTCTTCGACCCCAGTAAAAGGTCTTTTAATCTACACCAGTGTTTCTCAACCCTGGTCCTGAGCACCCCCCAACACTGCACATTTTGTATGTCTCCCTTATCTGACACCCATTTCAGGTCCTGGAGGTTCTTTTAATGAGCTAATGAGTTGAATCAGGTGTGTTTGATTAGGGAGACACACAAAATGTGCAGTGCTGGGGGGGCGCCCAGGCCCAGGGTTGAGAAACACTGATCTACACTATCTCCTCCCATAAATGTTTGCTGACCCAAATGTCCTGACATTATGAGTCTTATCTGTATATGTAGACTTGTCAAATTCAATTGATACCCGTACTGGCTGATTTTTCTGGTTGTGAAATGGAAAGGCCATGATAATTATTACCTAAACGAAACTGTTAATGTGGGATTACTGACACATTCACTCAATAGAAGAAGAGCGCTTGAGTTTTTATTACTGTTGAATAGGGCTGGACAATTTAGCATTATCTTGATATTTTTCTACATTTTGACAATAATCAGTATATATCTTAATATTTTTGCATCTGCTCTGGAATAATTAAAAAGGTGATTTTCTTCTGCCCAATTATTGATTTGGATAGGACTATTATCCTATTGTTATCCTTAGGCTATTGTTTGTAAGCACATTCAGTGCACTGCTTCTTCAGAGTAAAGTAATTCACATGCTACATTTTACACAGTGCCACTGGGGTCAATTAAGTGTTTCACAAGTTTTCAGCTATAAGACTATCATCTTTTTCTGGTTGAAGAGATGCTCTGTGGCATGACACTGTGTTCCCACTGGCACTAAAAACTCTTTCAGATGGGGAACTAGTTGCTGGAACACATAGGCACTTCTAGTGTGCAAGACGACTGAAATTGCATAGTGGGCTGTCTTTGGCACATTATTCGTAATTTTCAACAATATTTGATATTCACAATATTGTGTAATTTTATATAGAGTATTTGATTATCACAATAGTATCTCTAATATTCAAAATATTGTTTATTAAATATTGGGGGGGGGTATTTGTTATTTAATAATTTATTTATTATTTAAAATAAATAACAAATAAATAAATATTGATATAATTTTATTTAATCTTTTGCCCTGTGGTGTCTGCTAATGAAGAGAGCTCCCGCTAACAATGACTAGCACAGTTGGCCTAATCAACGCTTGTCTTACGCATCCGTTGCTCTTCCTCTATTCCCCGGTGGTCTGGTTTTCTCGTTATTGTAATCTTGAATTAGGCCTGGTAAATTGAGCTTTTAATTAGCGATGCTGGTATGAAAGTGTGAGTGTTGTGAGCTTATGTATGAAAGTATATATAAATACACACATGCATATATATATTTAAGAAAAATATGTTACGTTTATATAGTAAATATATTGATATATGATATAAATTGAATACAAATATATACATGTAAATACATGTAAATATTTTCAAAATATATGCTGTGTGTGTGTGTATTTATATATACATAATAAATATACACAACACACACACACACACATATAGCTTTTGTTTGTTCGATTGGTCAGTTTTATTGTTTTGTTTTGTTTTACTTTTTTTTAAGTGATGTTGGCTTGCTGTTACATTTTATGCTGTGCCACTGCATCTCAGCATGTATATCACTTGTTTACCCCCTAAAAAGATCTCTAAAAAGTAGTGCTGCCAAATCGATTAATCGTGATTAATCGCATCCAAAATAAATGTTTGTGTTTACATAATAGATGTGTGTGCACTGTGTATATTTAAATGTGTATATATATAAGTACACAGACATACATGTATATATTTAAGAAAAATATGTTATGTTTATATATTAAATATATTTATCTGTAATATAAATAATACAAATATATACATGTAAATACATGTAAATATTTTCAAAATATATGCTGTGTGTGTGTGTATTTATATATAAATAATAAATATACACAATACACACACATATACTGTATTATGTAAACAAAAACTTTTATTTTGGATGCGATTAATCGCAATTAATAGTTTGACAGCACTAGTATATATATATATATATATATATTGTTTTTTTTTTTTTACATTGTGGTAATGAGAATTGGGGTGGAAAATATGCTGAATAGTCATTAAAATTATGCCACAATGCAAAAAAATCTTAATGGTCTTTTTTTTTTTTTACAAAATATAATTCATTTAGATTTTTCATGAGATTCACAGGAATGAACTGATAGGAATACACATTCACAGGAATTCACAGGAATACAGCGATATGTTTGAACAGAGGTGCTTATAAGCAGTAATAAAGCCCTCATTGTGTTGGTGTGTGAATGAAGTCACATGGATGCATGACTGTAGTGTGTTTGCAGTGGGAGGGTCTTGAGTGGATAGAGGTCGCTGCGGGTCACCACCACCCCACTGTCTTTGTTCCTGAGACACAATGATCAACATACTTTGAACAATTCAGATTGTGACGCCTTCAGAGAAGTACAGCTTTGCAAACTGCTATTGTCAGACGCACAATATAACGATGACCGTAATTGTTGTCGGCTAATATTGGTAGTGTTGAGGAAGCTACTTTACCCTTTTAAAATGGTAGCTAACTACATTCAAGTTAAGCGGACAATTTTTTTAGATAATGAGTTTGTACTTATAGTCTGGGCTCTGGACATATAGGGGACGCAGAATTCAGCAACTCCCCAATCTCTGATCTAAGCTTTGAAAGGCTCGGTTTAAAATCACTGCCGTGTGCAAAGTGACCCGGAGCTATATCTGCTTATTCTGTAAGTGTTCTGCTGCTTCTGCGTAAATAATGCATCGGCTTCATCAGAAGGCACCGCCGTGTATTTTCTGAAAAGCAGCAACTCACTATTGTCCGGGAAGTGGCTTCGAAAGAGACTGCAGCGTTCTCTTGGCAGACAGGTATTATGTTTGCTTCTCTGGTTTCATCATTGTATTTACAGCGTGGCATTGCTGAGTCACTGGCAAAGGCTTAAAGTTGAAAACGCACAAGGCTGTAGTGTGAGCCGTTGAAAGGAATCCAAACCATCCTGACTGATAATGGGGAAGCAGAGTTAGGGAATGAAATCACGCTCTTTGACTCGATATGTTTTGGTGATCTGGCAGTGTTTGGAAAGAGCTCTCGCTCTCTAGAGACTTTCTGTCCCTTCATCTGTATTCTGCTGCAAACTGCATCTGGCTCGAGCTCTTAGGCCTCTTTTAAAGGGACAGTTCACCCAAAAATGAACATTCTGCCATCATTTACTCACTCCATACCTGTATGACTTACTTGCTTCTGCTGGACACAGAAAAAAATAAACCATTCTTTATCCAGTCTTCTACTGCATGGACAAAAAAAATGTTCTGCAGAAGAAAGAAAACCATGTTTGGAACAACATGAGGGTGAATAAATGATGACAGTTTTCATTTTTGGGTGGACTAACTGAATTGAGTAAACCCTTTATCAGTCAATCAATCTATGTATTTATTTATTTATGAAATTACGGTGTTTTTACTATGTGGGTGAATATCATCAATAACATTCCTGTGTCATATTTCACCCCATATCAAAAAAGGAATTATATTTTTTATCATGAAAATAAAGTGACATTAATTTCATGACAATTTTGCAGATTTTCCTCAAATTCACATTTCCAGAATGGAAATCCTATTATAAGTCAAATAAAATCCTATTAGCATTAATGTAATGAGAACGAAATATATAGTTTAAATAGTGTATTGTAGTATTTGTTGTACTGCCTTTAATTTATGCTGACTTAAATATAAAAATCACTCTGTTGCAGTAATGCATTACTGAGAATCTAATGACGAATCACCTTTAAGAACTAATGGGAATTTTAAAAACATAAAAGTAAAATGCGTGATCATTATGGTTAGGGCTGGGCAGTGAACGTATTTTCAGTTACGTTTTTGGCTCCCAATAATTATGAAAGCAAGATGGTTATTGTGCTGCATTCTGTTTTGCAGTGATTCCCTTGTTTTGTTTTGTGCTATGTGGGGGTGTATATAAATGCACATGAGTCAAAGACGAAAAGGGGGTTTCAAGTATCAAAACGATAAATGTTTAACACAGCCTTAATTTTTTCGTACATTAGAATGTGATTAATTTTTATTTTTCTGAGCAAAAAAATAATGACTCATACACAGGAAAAAAAGGGGTTTAAAATTGTACCTTTTGGGGTACAGCAGCTTGTCCCTGGAGCAGTACCCTTAAAAGGATATATTTGTAACTTTTTTACCCCTAATAGGTACATATTAGTACCTTAGAGTAGTAATACGTAGCCTTATTTTGTGATAGAAGTAATATTGACAGAAATCAAGACATTTGTGACAAAAATGCATCAAAAAAAATTCAATGGCGTTTTGATGGCACCCGGTGGCTGTTTGTGGTATAACACCCTAAATACAATCTCACAGAAACCTCAATTTTTTTCATATCAACTTCAAATTTGGAACATAACTTATTTAGAGATAAGGCTTTACTTTTTTTTTTAGCAATTTTAGAGTAAAACTTATGTAAAATTTTTATTTTATATAAAATATCATACAAATTGTACAGTGCATTTTCTTTACAGTAAATTTAAACTTCTATAACTTTTTGATATTTAAATTTTTGAAAATTAAGTTAAGTTTGGATAGTGCACTTTAATGTCTATTTTAAAAAAAATGGGGGGTGACAGTTAAGGGGTTAATATCCTAGTGATTTTTGGCATAAAAGAAAAATTGATAATTTTGACCCATACATTGTATTGTTGGCTATTGCTACAAATATACCCGTGCCACTTATGACTGGTTTTGTGCTCCAGGGTCACATAATTTTTACCATGACTTGCAGAAAAATTGTCACAGTGTAACAATAGTTCATATAACAATAAATCTTGTCAGTAATATTTAGAACCAGAATCATTAGATGGCATTAAAAGACTCTATTTAAGGATTGTAAAAGTCATAAAGTTTTCCACATTATTAAAGTTTTTGAACTTCATGAATATCAATTATAAATGCTGAAGTGAGCTCTTTTGTGACAGGAACAGCGAGTCCCTCATTGTTTTTGCTGTTTCTCGCAGGCAGCTGCTGATTATGTGAAGGCCCACCTACCCGAGGCTCTGAAACAACAAATATCATACAAATTGTACAGTGCATTTTCTTTACAGTAAATTTAAACTTCTATAACTTTTTGATATTTAAATTTTTGAAAATTAAGTTAAGTTTGGATAGTGCACTTTAATGTCTATTTAAAAAAAAATGGGGGGTGACAGTTAAGGGGTTAATATCCTAGTGATTTTTGGCATAAAAGAAAAATTGATAATTTTGACCCATACAATGTATTGTTGGCTATTGCTACAAATATACCCGTGCCACTTATGACTGGTTTTGTGCTCCAGGGTCACATAATTTTTACCATGACTTGCAGAAAAATTGTCACAGTGTAACAATAGTTCATATAACAATAAATCTTGTCAGTAATATTTAGAACCAGAATCATTAGATGGCATTAAAAGACTCTATTTAAGGATTGTAAAAGTCATAAAGTTTTCCACATTATTAAAGTTTTTGAACTTCATGAATATCAATTATAAATGCTGAAGTGAGCTCTTTTGTGACAGGAACAGCGAGTCCCTCATTGTTTTTGCTGTTTCTCGCAGGCAGCCGCTGATTATGTGAAGGCCCACCTACCCGAGGCTCTGAAACAACAGCTGCAGGCCTATGAGTGGGAAAAGAAAGACAGCCCTCTGTCCTATCCCGCCATCCTAGAGCAGCGCATTCTGGCTGTGGACCGGGACATGGTGGAGAAGTTCTCTGCCAGCCATGATGAAGCAGGTGAGCAGGGACGAGAGTGTGTTTTAGGTTGATTTAGCTGACTGGAAACAGTAAACAATGCTGAACCCTTGTTTTGTCTTCAGGCACGACGTGTTTGGTAGCCCTGTTGTCAGACCGTGAACTGACTGTGGCAAATGTCGGAGACTCTCGCGGCGTTCTCTGCGACAAGGACGGCAACGCTGTGGCCTTGTCACATGATCACAAGCCTTACCAGCTGAAAGAGCGCAAGAGGATCAAGAGAGCAGGTGAGTTTGAGTGAATAATAATAATAACTATTGGTTAGTTAATGGACATACAGTAATTCAACTTTTTAGCTTAATACAGTTATAAAGACTGCTGTAGGACTGTGATCATTTTTGAAGATGTGTTGGCTTTCTGACAGTTCCAGATCACCTCAGTGTGACTGCACTATGTGAATATAACATGTCTCTGTGATCTCATCGGTCAGGTGGCTTCATCAGTTTCAACGGTTCTTGGCGTGTGCAAGGCATCCTTGCCATGTCGCGCTCACTTGGTGACTACCCTCTCAAGAACTTGAATGTGGTCATCCCAGACCCAGATATCTTGACCTTTGACCTGGACAAGCTCCAGCCGGAGTTCATGATCCTAGCCTCCGACGGCCTGTGGGACGCGTTCAGCAACAAGGAGGCCGTACGCTTTGTGCGGGAACGCTTGGATGAGCCGCACTTTGGCGCCAAGAGCATTGTGCTGCAGTCTTTCTACCGCGGCTGTCCCGACAACATCACTGTCATGGTGGTGAAGTTCAAGAGCAGCTCTGGGAGCAAAACTGGAGAGTAGATGGACTCAACTAATAAACAGCCTCAACCGATCAATAAACAGCCTCCATTGTCTTTCCATTAATGCATATTGCAAGACGCTAGATGGTGTAATACGAGACAAACATTTTTTTTCTCTCACAATTACAATAAACTGTACAGACACACATGTGCAAACACGTGCATTCCCAGATTTATTGTAATTTTTATTTTTTTGGTGTGTGCCAAATGGACACTTTATGGAAAATTTATTTTGTAATTACTCCTTTTTCAATTCCTTAAACTGTAAAGATGTATCCTGACCTTCCTTATTCAGAGCAATATTATTTGTGAAACAGCAATTGGCATAAATGGTAGAAGGACATCTATTGCCTTGAAGATGCACATGCATAAATATCATGTTTTTTTGTTTTTTTTTGTGAATTAAGATGATGAAACCGTAACCAGCTCTTGAATTTGGATGTGCATGATTCATTCATATCAGTTCAAGGCATTAATGCCAATTTACACTGGTGCTGCTCAT